ACATCACGATATACAGGGAGACCTAAAACAGCGCTATAACAGCATGAAGCATGTTTTGAGCTGCTGGCAAGAGATCAAAGGAACTGAACAAGTCAAGTCCCTCGTCTCCTACTAAATTCAATAGGATTGCTATTTTTGCCTCGTCTGGTTTTTTTATTAAGCTAGTAGCAGTCAAGAAGTTAGTTATTGAACTTCTGCTCAAACTTCTTCCAGTTGTCAGTCAAACTACCCTCCATCGAGAGAGGTTCAGGAGGCTTAAAATAAGCTGCCTCTGTCATTTTTCTCTACATTTTTTTTTTGATTCTACAAGCCATTACTTACGTGGGTATTTCAAACTGGATTTTTCAATTTTCCTGCAACAACAAGATGGCTACCATGTCAACTAGCGACACTTTCACTATCCAGGACAAAATAATAGAAATGTCAAGGACAAGGTCAAGGGTGAATATATACAAGAGTTTTTTCAAACAAGATCTCGAAGTTTTCAAGCAATATCTCAAGCTCAAGAGGTTTTTGACACACAAACAATTCAAGATGGAAAGCCTACACAAAAAAAAAAAGCCAAATTGGGTTACAAGCATGAAATTTGGCATAGTTGTCAGGAAGCTCATTTTAAGAGATCTGACCCGATTAGCCAGGCTCTACGACCCTCAAGACTCCCAATCTCGCAATTTTTTTCAAAATGGCGGACGGGAATTTCCTCAATTTCAAAATTAATTTACTTGGGCATGATTATACATTTTATTATATAATTTGAGGTCAAGGAATTCAAAAAAAAATATTTTCATAACGATATGACCTTCAGTAACCTTGAAAATTACAGTTTAATTCAATTTTGAAATAATTTTGATATAACATGTTTGAAATCGCCAATTAAAAATCAAAAATGATTGCTTAGCATAACATAAAAATTAAAATGTCTTATCAAAGACAAAAAGTTTCTCCTATAATAGATCAGCGCTGGCTGATGCGGTAGTAGGTACTAAGGTACATGAAGCCATGTCATTACCTTATTTCTCACAGAAATGTTTCAAAGTATCATATGAAGGTTACAAAATCTTTTTTTTTCAGAAAAATAGGTATTATCATGGCTCCGTGGCACCGTGGCACTACCTCACCAGCCGCTGCTTCAACAGATACTGCAAACTATAGGGAACGTTGGTTTTGACATTCGCCATTGCAGTTAGTATATGCGGGTGTACAAGGTAGACCAGCTTTCTGACACGAACATCTGTTGGTCTCACTTTGACTTTCACATCCACGCTTCTCTAGTCCTCTTAGAGCTCACCAAATTTGTGCTAGCTGGCTCCCAGCGGTTGTTGGTTAAATTCCAACCCCATCCTCCAGGTGATGGAAAAGGTTCACCGGGTGATAAGCCATGCAATGCTAACGATTTTTCAGGTCCCAATAAATGATTTGCAATATTATGAGCTGCAATATATCTTTGTGATTTGTTAACCCCATATATAAGCTACCATAATTCCTCAAGGGCCAAGGACTTAATATGTAGAAACATTCTTCCATCTGCTTCCTCCATGTCGGCACAAGATAGTCCATCCAGACTGGTTTTGAGATTATGTTAAACATTTGGTCCAAAATGGAGCTAAATCCGTTTCAGTACGATTCTCGGACACAGATGTTGTAATAATAGGAATATATTTTTTTTATGTATTGAGCTCCTTAGGCCTTGAGGAATTATGGTATCTATATGGGGTTAGCAAATCACAAAAATATATTGCAGCTCATAACGTTGTTACCAGAAAAATCGTAAGCACTGCGTCGCTTTTACGCTTCTAGGGGGTGCGACACTACTTCCTTTTTTGCATTGAAAGGAAAAAACAGAGCCTGGAAAGCATATGGGAAGATTAACCGGAGGCAACCCTGGCCTTCCATTGTTTATCATTAATAGATGGTACCACAGATATACCACAAAATATATTCAAAATTTTAAAGAAATTTACTATTACACTATATGATGCAAGAAGCAAACTTGAAAAAGTTATTGAATTGAGAAAGGTGCAGTTTTGTAGTGGAGAACGACCACTAACCTGAAGGATGAGATTGGAATTTAACAAACAACCGCTGGGAGCTAGCTACCACAAATTTGGTGAGCTCTAAGGGGACTAGAGAAGTGTGGATGTGAAAGTCAAAGTGAGGCCAACAGATGTTCGTGTCAGAAAGCAGGTCTTCCTTGTACACCCGCATGTACTAACTGCAATGGCGAATGTCAAAACCAACGTTCCCTATAGTTTGCAGTATCTGTTAAAGCAGCGGCTGGTGAGGTAGTGCCACGGTGCCACGGAGCCATAGCAATACCTTATTTTTCTGAAAAAAAAAGATTTTGTAACCTTCATATGATACTTTGAAACATTTCTGTGAAAAATAAGGTAATGACATGGCTTCATGTACCTTAGTACTACCGCATCCGCCAGCGCTAATTTATTTAATTCATTATAAAAGAAACTTTTCGTTTTTGAAAAGACATTTTAATTTTTATGTTATGCTTAGCAATCATTTTTGATTTTTAACCCCCCTCTATTGGCGGATCAAACATGTTATATTAAAATTATTTTAAAATTGAATTAAACTATAATTTTCAAGGTTACTGAAGGTCATATCGTTTTAAAAATTTTTTTTTTTGAATTTCTCGACCTCAAATTATATAATAAAGTGTATAATCGTGCCCAAGTAAATTAATTTTGAAATTGAGGAAATTCCCGTCCGCCATTTTGAAAAAAAATTCGAGATTGGGAGTCTTGAGGGTCGAAGAGCCTGGCTAATCGAGTCAGATCTTTTAAAATGTGTTTCCTGACAATTATGCCAAATTTCATGCTTGTAACCCAATTTGGCGTTTTCTTCCAAAATTTCGTACGAGGGAACTGCACTATATAAGGTGAGTTCGGAATGGTAGAAAGTGTCGACACTATTGACACTATAGCATTTTTTAAATGGTAGGAGTGTTTGGTGTACACTTTTTTTGCGTTTGGAAATAGTTTGGTGTCCGAATGGTGTGAAGATGGTGGGACACCGTTTACTCGGTACAAAATGATGGTGTATTCGGTGTTAAACCGCCCGCCGATTACACCTTCATGACAATGTAGTCTCCTCACTCATACCACCCACAGGTCTTTCCGCACGTGAATTCCATCATCTTAGACTAACTCAAATATCGCAGATAAATAACGACCTGGAGATAATAGAGGACTGGGGTAACAAAAACCTTGTACAGTTCAACGCACAGAAAACCCAAGCAGCTCTGTTTTCAAAAAAGAACAGCACCGGTGAGCCAAACATCATGCTATCTGGAAGTGCTGTCACATTACAGAGTCAGTTGAACATCTTGGGGGTTACTGCAGAGACCAACATGTCTTGGCACAATCACGTGGCAGATATTGCTAAAAGGGCGTCCCAAAAGCTGGGGGTGCTATTTCGTACAAGACATCTGTACACACCAAGCCAATTGCTGACACTCTACAAAGCCCAGATTCGACCAACGATGGAGTACTGCTCACATATATGGAGTGCAGCACCCAAACATACCTTAATGCTTTTGAACACCGTGCAAAAACGAGCTATCAAGCTGATCAATGACCCCGCACTTACTCGTAACTTGGATGGTCTCGAACATCGCAGATCTGTGGGCGATTTATCTCTCTTCTACAGGTACTATCACGGAAAATGCTCTGAAGAGTTGGCACGTATGATTCCACCGAGAGTAGCGCCTACCAGGCGAACCCGTCAAACAGACGGTAACCATGAATTTACTGTCAAACTAGAGGCACCAAGAACCTCATTATATCAGAATTCATATCTCTGGAGAACAGCATCGCTGTGGAATAAACTCCCTGCGACGGTTTTCCCTGCAGGTTACAACCTGAACCGTTTCAAGACCAACATACACCGACATTTCCGCGCACTTGCCGCTTCTCGAGCGTGATAGGACATTTCCTTGCGAGTGCGCATATCCGTAAAAAAAAAAAAAAAAAAAAATGACGTGATATAACACTGCACTACACGAACACCGCACTAACACTGCACTAAAATCCCATTCCGAACTCAACTATAGGGGGCAGCACTTCGCGGTCGATAAAGGGATCGAACTAGAGTATCGACTATTAAAGTGGAGAGATAAATAATAATGGCATATATAACACACCAGTTCTACGAAAAACAAAGACCCTTCCTTTCCGAGAACGAGACAATGAAAATAGCGTAATACAAACCACGCCCACAACCCTGTATATAAATAACGCAGGTCCAACAACGTCGAATCCATTTATCGGAGGAACACGGAAGAGAACACTTCGTCCTCTACCACACCGCCTCTGAAGATGTCTACCGCAGCAGTAGATGGAACATTAGGTAGAAATACTAATGGACCACGGCATTATAGTCCAGAAAATACTTTTTTAATAGATTTGACCGGCCGAGAAAGCCTTCATTCGATATTGTAATGTTCAGAAGATGTTTAATTTAAATTATCGAAATTATAGCCTTCCAGGCATCTTTTTTATACTGATTGAGTTGGTACCTATAATGAAAGAATGAAACTTACTTTCTATATTATGGAAGCAGAGAACTGACTTTAAGAAAAACCTATATTGGAAGGCAAGAAAGAGCCACAAAGTTTTTAACTCTTTGCTTTTAATACAAAAGAAATGCTTTTTTTTTGGAAATTATTTCCTCTAAAATAATGATTCGTTTCCGAGAAGTCTCCGTATAGAAGCGCGGAATATAAAATTACAAGAATAAGGACCGACCCCAGACATAACCTTTTCTAATTTGTAATTAAAAACACGTTTCAAATGTTCCAAAAACATCAGTCAATAACTTATTCAAGAGCGTTTTCAGGTTTGTGAAATTCAATACTAAAATACTCCGGAGTGTTCATTAAGCCCTTTCAATATTATCGGCTATTATATTCGTTTAAATACGCTTTTAAATATTTAAGAAGATTTATACAGTTAAGGCAGAGGTTGATGAATTATTGTTTGTTTCAGGCTGAAAATGCTATAAAATGACTACGACCAGTTTTACTGGTGAAACGATAAGATGGAAAACTTCACCGATGCCAGCATCTTTGAATCGTTTGACCAAAACCGGACCACGCCTGTTTTTGCCATCGGACCCGAGTTTATTGCACAATGGTAAGTAAAATTTTAACGATGTCCCAAGTGAAAAATCAATGCATAAAATGCAATTTGAGTGTACCTACAGAACGACCACGCACAGGCAATATAATTCAAAGCTTCTATTACCAGGCTAAAACCATACACGAATTCGTAAAGAGCTATTATTGATTGGATATACAGATAAGTGGGAAAAAAACCTTTTTGTTTTAGGACTTTGTGTTAATTTACAATGCAAATAGCGTGTTTAATAGAAAAACCTGCATTTAGAGAGCTGGTTTAATTAGGTTGGTTTTAAGCCTCAATTTCTAATAATTACAAAAAGCATAACATGTAATTAGTAAATCCAAATTTACTCTTTGTACCCATACAACGCTGAAACTCAAATATTAGAAATGATGCCATTTTACTTTGTTATAAATTCATCATTGTTGACAGTGTACCTACACCCTTATAATGCAGCATGCAAACTAGCAACAATGGCCTTGCTTAGTGCAGCTGTGTAAACCCAGTATTTTGAAACATAATTAAATAAACCATTATACACATTACATTTTTGTTTATTAAGGATGCCATAGCCATTTCGATTCCTTATCAGATTTCTCTAATATTGTTTGTATTCCAAATATACCAACAGTAAATTAGTAAATATTTGGCTAGTAATTCGTCAACACGCTGTTTAACCGAGAGCATACTCAACCTCAACTCAATTGGAGTGTTTTGGGTGTCCTATTTTGTTCCAATCGCAACTTGTTTAAATTTAATTCTTGACCAAATTTCAGTGAGAAACTAAGCTTAAATTTTTTATTCTCATTGTCTATCTTCACCACAATTTCTTTAAAGGAATAAAAATGAAGAAGATGCAATTATTTATGATCTACGTAAGCTATCCGTCAAATCGGAAAATCCGTAGCATTTCGTTCGAATATTTCAGGAAGCTACACGCGTATATCCAAATCGATTCGTGCACGACCAAAACAACCAGGCCTCGAAAATACGTTTGGAATTCCTCGATTATCGTAACCTTGATGGGATTGGTGCAAGGGAAATTTCGCCACGAAACATAAAAATCTAAATTGAAAACCTTGAACTTATATGAAAGCGGATTTATATAATAAGCGTTTCATTTCAGAAATCCTGATTTATTAAAGGTTGCGAGGGTATATACAATACTATAGTTTGTATTATAATAAAATTGGTTAATTACGAATATTTTCCACAATCTTTTAAGCTATGATGTTTTTTTTTTTAATCGCGATCAGTTTTTAAAATGTGTACTTTAAAGCGATGATTTTATCGTGACAAGGACTTTAATGATATTTCACCCACTCCGCCTTAAAAGGTTTTTTGAGATAAGGAAGAAAATGCAAAGTCCCCTCACTTTTACAAAAAACTTAAAATCAATTACCATTAGAAAGCCGATTTCTAAGTAAAAAAAAAAATTGAACGGTAGCCTAGTTGATATTCCCGGCGTCCCTTATTTCGAGAATCACAAGGCACGTATAATAACTCCAATAATGTAGCGGGCCTTCATTTGCATTTAATGAGCTTTTAAAATTCAAACTCCTCTCGAGTGGCAAAGTGTTTAAAAGAGGCTGGAGTACGCGGTTCGTTCGTAAACAGTGGCAGGACAATTTGGAAATTCTGTGTGTAGACTGGGACTAGGAAGTTGCTTTTTCAGTAAAACTATTTTTTTTTGATGTCAACAATTTGTGATTTTATGGATCTGTAGAACAGTACAAAAAGGAGAAACCTCTATGCAAAGTTCTCGTTGTCAGTTGTCCTTCATTGATAGATTGATTTGAAAAGGGGCCTTTATAGGCAGCACGTAAAAGTGCATATGCATGTGCATTGTGCTATCCCCCTCTTGGTGCAGCAAGGAGATCCGCTCAGGTCTGACATGCTATATTTCATCAGGTTCCAGAAACCAGTACCCAAGGTATCGTAGTCTGCGACTGACGAGGCCGTCACATTCGCAAACTATTATGCTTGCTAGTTTCATCTACTTCGCTGCAGAACCTGCATTCCGCCTCATTACTGAGTCCGATTTTGTGCAGGTGGTATCTGAATACCCAATGCCTGGGTATCGACTCCTGCACCCTCTCCCATCTGAGACCCGTCTGTGTACCAGACAAGCCCCTTCGGCTTGCATTCCAGCAGGCAAGTACTTTCTGCTGGACAATATTCCGAAGTTAATGATTTTTGGTGTCATTTGTGGGTAGTCTGTGCAGTAAAATCTGAGTTTTCGACCTCGAGGACTCTGTGCTAGCTTGGAGAGAGTCGAAAAACCACGAAATTTTCAGACTTTTTCAGTTTTTTGCTTATATTTTCTAAACCATGCGTTTTAGCCGAATACACCTAGTTATTAAGTTGGAGAACATTAAATTTCCTTCAAATATCACCATTATTCAATGCAATAGTAGCCGAGATACAGTGGTTTAAAAATACAGAAAAATTATCAACTTGTCAAAAATTCGGCCAGCCGACAACAATTCAAACCAAGCCCCATGATAAACATAAATTATCCTCATCTCTTTCACGTGCACCCACAGACGATATATGTCTGAGCACCTGAATTATTTTCCACGTTAAGCGCAACTAAAACGTCGAAATTTTCGGATTTCTCCAGTTTTTTTGCTTATAACTTCTCAACAAAGTTGAAGAACTTGAAATTTCCTTTAAATTTCACTGGCCAAAAGTATTCGATCCAATAGTTACTGAGATATAATGGTTCGAAAACTCAAGTAATGTCTCAGATTATCAAAAATAGCATAGAAATGCAGGTTTTCTCTCTATAACTTTGGAATACACAAACTATGACTATGCGTGCAGCAAAGATAGTCGATATCGTTCTACTTCTCTGGTGCATTGGAAAAACCACTATAGCATTGCTCCCGAAGTGTCTTTGAACATAATCCACGTAATTCTGTCACACTAATTCAAATGACGTATGTGATTTGCTCTACACAACCCTAATTAGCAGGTACCCACCATCAATAACTGCGCATTTGCTGCTGCCGAAGTCTACTGGTTCTTATATAAGAGTGAATGCCGCATACAACATCGACTTTGTGCCCTTGTGCGTACTTCCCTCTGTGAAGAGAGACATCGGGAAGCGGGCTCTCTTATATTTCAAGATTCTAAGGTCATCATCTCTTTTATTATGCCAATCCGTTGGAAGAGAGTGAGAGGGTGTATTGTGAATGTTTTGTCTTTAATTTTCACACAACAGGAAACAGATGCTAGAGAAACAACCTCATCTTTCCGCTTCAATTCCATGTCTTGAAAATTCCCTTTTTTCAGATAGGTGTTCATACAGGTGATACCAATAGTTCGAGCTAAGTGGCAGTTTACAAGTCCATGAGCAACAGCTCTAGTGCCTATTGAGAATAGCTCTTTTGTATCCAGGAAAGGTGGATGCAAGGCGAGTTCAGCGCGGATGACGTCAAAATCAAAATAAAAAAAGTTTTACTTTCCAGAAAATATTATTAAAATAAATATAATAAAAAAATCACTCAGGGGATAAAAGATGTTCATCTCATGCTTGGTTCGAATTATGTTTCGACGGGAAGAAATTTTTGACAAGTTGTATCTTTGAAGAACTGGATCTCGGTTACTATTGCGTTGAAGAATACTTTTGACCAGTTAAATTTGAAGGAAATTTAAATTTCTTTAAGTTTATAAATAGGTGTATTCCGCGAAAAACGGATGGTTCAGAAGCTATGAAAAAACTGAAAAAGTTCGAAAATTTCTAGGTCTTTCGACTTTCCTTCAAGCACAATGTCGATACAGGAAGTATCAATCTCTGTCAAAAGATGAATGTGGTAGTCTAACGAAAATCTTCAGAAAAAAAAAACTCAATTTGAAGCAATTTTTTCCATATTTTCAACCCATAAGTGCTCTAAGTACCGAATGTTTAGTTAGGGCCTTCTCACATTTAAAATGCATTAAAATCAACATAATTTTGTTATAGACTAAACATTTGTTTATGATAACTGAGCTTCACTCACCTGTCAAGAGATAGCACTGGGAATTAACATGAGCCCATCTCTTTCTCTGAGCCTGGCGAAGAAAAAAATAGAAGTACATATTTTTTTGCCTGCTCAAACACAAACTAAACTAAAAAAGTATGGTTAGAATTTTATGTCAAAATTGTCAAATCGTACGATATCGTACAAAAAGTTAAAATTATTTTAACTATCCGATGACGGATGAAATGTTAAAATTTTCGGATGAAAATTGGCGGGAAAATATATTGACCAATCAGAAGGCTGTAGGATGATCGTACCATCGGACGACAGACGCATGAGAAGCCAGCTCAAGTCGTCAGCTTTTTAAACAGCCTACGTCAAGGCGAGAAATAATATGCTGCCTACGTCATAACTGGTAATTTGGCTAGGATGGGGGGAAGGGGGGGATTTGTTACACACAGGCCTTATGAGGATATGCCATCCTGTACTAATAGTGTGTATCATCCTTCATAAAACACTAAACACACAAAAGGCCTAGTTCTATAATAATCGAATTTCTTGTACTCACCCCTCAAATCTGTGGCCCCCACTCGGAAATTCAATTTTCTGGGTAAAATAAACACAGAATTCGAACCGCGATACTTTTCGGAACACTTTGAAGTACTTTTTCTGATTGAAATGTCCCGGAAAACTGGAAAATTCAACGAAGAACCCTTTTAAAAACCTCCATAATGGCCCACTGTCAAATGTTACTTGCGCGAAGTTCACTCTTTTTGACATTGCTTCGACAATTTGACGTTTGATACACGCATAAAACGTCAGATTGTTGAAACAATATCAAAAAATAGCGAATTTCGCACAAGTGAAAATGAGGTATCTACTTGATTCGAACCCGAGTGAAGTTGGCTACAAAGCAGTGTTGCCACCTACCTGAAAAAAAATCTAAATTTATTGAAAAAATTTAATTAATGATTTTTAAACTAGATATTCCCTAAAAAAGATCTCAAAAGGTTGTTTTACAATGATTTTTGCTTGCAGCCTTAATTT